GACGTGTGTTGGCTTTTTGTCGTGCTGTCTTCGCTGACTTTCACACACGCGGGTCTGGGGCTTTTTCTAATGTTTTAATATCCTTGAAATCGAGATGCATCTTGCAGTTAATGGTGTGTCTTTGTCTTAGTCTGTCACCGTTTTTGTCTTTCTTACTGGTTCATAAAATATTGGTGCTCTTACAACCCAAGGCAAATTTGAGTCGCTGGGAGGTGGTGTTGAAAACGGCTGCCTCACCCCACACTGCCTGTGTAGACCCCTCAGGGGGACCCTCGGACCCCAGCGGCTCTGATTCTCTCTGGAGGCCACATGCCCGAGGGGACTCTGCCCTGCAGGCAGGTGGCATCTTTCGGCTGTGCCCTCGGAACGCTGACCAGCGCTGCTCCCCGCCTGTCCGTCCCTGTCAGGGCTGGCTTTGGTGCCACTGCCTCTCACTCTCTTCCCTCCTGCAAGCCCAGCCTGGCCCCCCCATTCGTCTTCCTGAACCCGCCCCTCCCCGGCCTGCCCACTTCCAGGTCTGTGACTGAACTGCTTCCGCCCCTCAGGCCCGCCCTGCCGATTCCTCCACGGGGCTGTCACCTTTTTGGAGCATTTCCTGTGACTTCTATTTTTTCTCCCTTTGCCCCTTAATCTGTTTTCCCTGCTCCGCGCCCCACCCCCACTCAGCGGGAAGGCTTCCTCCCGAAATCCCCACATCCTCCCCTCCCAGCCACCCCACCGCCCGCTGAGGACTCAGCTGCCCCGGCTCTGACAGGCTCTGACAACCGTGGCCCTGGGGTTCGCCGCGCTTGCTGGGGCCCATCCGGGGCCAGCGGTGGGGCCCCGGTCTCTGTGCTCACCAAGATGCCCACCACCGCTTCCTAGCCGGACCCCGGGAGCTCCCAGGTGGCTCAGGAAGCTAAACGCCAATGCCGGGGCCTCCTCTGCCCCTTCTCCATGGCAGGCCTGCCGAGGCCCCGCCCCGAGGGGGAGCCGGGTTGGGGGCTGCTTTGCAGCTCAGGACGGGGCTTGGCTGGGCAAAGGCCCTCTGCCCTCCCTCACTCCTTGTCTAGATGCTCCTCCGGCCCCCTGTGCCCAGCGGGGGGCGGCCAGTGCCCTGCAGCTCTGCTCCCTTCTCTTCCCTCTCTCCAACAGTCCCTGGCGCCTTGGGTCAGCCTCCTCCCCTGCCTCACACCCTCCCTGCTGGCCTCGTGCCCCAGGCGAGCAGCGGGCAGGACCTGTCACCTCCCTACAGGGAGGGGGCTTCCGCCATCAGGCGGCCCGCCTGGCCCATGACGTGGTTGGGGAGCTCCGGGGGTCCTGGCCGCCCTCTCTCTGGGCCAGGCCTGGTGTCCACCTTGCTTGTCTTGTTAAAAGGGTCTAGCCTTCTCCCGCTCCTGCTTGGAGAGAGAAACCGCATGACTTTTAAAGGAGGAAAACAGAGGGAAAAAACGACGTACGTAACCTGATGTGTCGGCTGAGTGTTAATTCTTTGCGCAGCTTCTGAAGTCCTGTCTGGGGGCGGGGATGGGGCAGGTGTCCCCTGCCGTCCACTGGACAAGCTGGAGAGACCCGGCAGCAGCCTCAGCTCCCACCCCCACCCAGCGCCTTCCTGACTCCCCGGGGGCCACGTCTCAGCTCTGCTCGGGTCACACGACAGACACCCCGGCTCCGGCCCAGTAAGCTCAGGAGTTGACTCATGGGACTGACAAGTCCAGTTTTCCAGTTTGGGTTTTGAACGCCCCAATGCAGGGATGGCAAGTGTCTGGCGCCAAGAACGGCCCTGCTCCACCCTGACTCAGTGGCAGCTGATGGCAGCACATGGGATGTCTGGAACCTTCTCCCCCATCCCTCCAAACCCACCTCACTGGGCAGAGTGGGCACCACAGTCATATCTATTGCCAGGCCCGTCCTAACTCCTCTCTCCTTGGGCTGATCTCTAAACCGTCCTTCAGGGTCCAGCTCAAGAGTCTTCAGGTCACCTCCTCCAGGAAGTCTTCCCTGACTATCTAGTCCCCTCTCTGTTTTCTGCCACACCTTGTGTATATTATAGATACACACATGTGCGCACACACACACATATTTATGGTATGTATTAGTGTGCCTACTTGTCACCCTAGAACATGAAGTTTCTGAAGGTGGGTGCTACGTCTTATTAATCTTTGTGCTCCCCGGACCCAGTGTAGAGCCTGACACACAATAGACGCTCAGAAATCTTTGCTGGATCCGTGAACAAGTGAAAGAATGAGCCGTTGAATGAATGAATAGCCTGATGGGGCTGAGTTATTTTGAAAGTGGGAGACTGGAAGTTGAAGCCTCTTCAAAGAAGAAAATCATTCCTGTGTGTGTCTCCCTTTCCCGTGGCTGCAAGAGAAGGTCGCACTTGCTCGCGACTGTCTGAGGAGGGGAGGCTGGAGGGCCGTGCAGAGCAGTGTGGTGTCTGTCCCTAGATGCCCTCACGGGCCCAGGGCCGGGCCATCCCTCAGCCCCTTCTCGTGGGTCCTAAATTCTTTCTAAGTGTGTTTGTGCACGAGGGTGCGCGCGATCCCCCGACATTATCTGCAGAACCTTATCCGTCACGTGAGTGCGGGCACATTTATCGGAGGGATGACCGAGATTGCCACCAGCTCCCCCGAGGGCTGCGTGCTGGGTCCCACTGTGGAGCCCCCGCTATCGGCCCGGTCTTTGGCACTCAAGGTCCCTCCGGTCACGTGCCCCTTTTATTTCAGAAGTCCAGTTGCAGAGGAATTCCAGTTCAGCCAGAGATAATATTCTAGAAGAATGTCAAGGAAAAGGGGCCTCCAGCCAGCAGGGTGTGTGTCGTGATGTCCCGCTCCGGCCTGGGCCTGGGGGCACGGACGGCTTTGCCTTCACACCAGGCGGCTCCTGCCTGCCCCACAGTGTCCTCGGAGCTGCGGTCTCAGGCACCCGAGAGGGACCCCCTGCACAGGAGGGGCTGCAGGGGGCAGAAGCCCTGGGAGGCAGTGGGTTTGCTGGGGACATGGTGACGCTGGGGACACGGTGATGCTAGGGACGTGGAGTTGCCAGGGACACAGTCATGCTGGGGACACAGTGACACCTGGGACAAGGTGGTGCTTCCTTCCTTCTCAGGCCCTCAGGGAGGGCCACATGGATGCTCACAGCTGCAAGTGAAAATGAAAACTGAGGTGGAGGAAGGGCTGGCCCCCAGGGCACTCTGGGGACAAATGGCTTCTGGCCCTGCAGGGACGTCAGCTGAGGTCTAGAAGAGCAGCTTCAGGGGATTAGCTGGGAGGGAGGAGGTTGAACAGCTAATTATAAAACTGGTGCCAGAGACGAGAGAGGATTACAAGGTCTTTTTGTGCAGCACAATCTTGAAAATGAGACAATCGTTCGTTCCCTTTGGACAAACGGGGGCAAACGGAGAGGAAGGAGGGAAAAGAAGACGAGAACCCCCACCGGGCACAAGGGCAGCACCAGGGAAGACGCCGTTACCTGTGGGTGCGTGTCAACGAGGGTCCCTTACGGTTCTGAAGCCCCTGTGAGCTGGGGTGACGCCTCACCTGATGTCACTGCTCAGCCCCCCGCTTTTGCTGGGCCTGGCCCGGGTTCGAGCCCCTGTGAAATACCAGCGTTGCTAGTCAGAGTGTATTTCCGGAGCCCTGCGCTGTGCCAGGCTGGCGCCCTGGGGAAGATAAGTCCTGCCTCCCGGGCCAGGGTGGGGCAGGCCAGGAGGAAGGACCTGTCGGGGAAGCTTCACTGCAATGGGGGCTGCCCGGGCTCGGACAACCAGGGGAGGCTCCACAGAGGAGGAAAGCCAGGGCGGCTGCCATAGGACAGGGGCCACCTTGATGGCAGCACCTCGGAGCCAGGCGGCCCGATTGGAGGGGCATTTTCATGCAGGAAAGAAGCAGGAGGGGAGGCTCGAGGGGGCGGCTGGGACAAGTGGGAGAAGCCCTTGAACTGTAGGTAAAGCGCCTGGGCTTTGCTGCAGACACTGGGAACGTCTTAAAGGTTTTGGAGCACAGGAGATGTTTGGGTGAAAGCCGGGATTTAGGACAACCGGGCCGCAGGTGCACAGGACAGGGCGTGGCCCCCTGGGCCAGGAAGAGCACAGGGAGGCTTGTGCGGAGTCCTGGGCGAGGCCATGGGCTCCACGCGGTGGGCAGTGGGAATAGGAGAAGGCGGGGGGGCGGGTCTGCACCCCATCTCCCCAGCTGGCAGCAGCGAGCCGCGATAGCCAACCGTCATCAAGCACCTTGCAAAGTCTTCGGGGCAGTGTGAGAGGCAACACCATTATTATATTGAAGCAAACATCAATATATAATGACGAAAACACACAGCATCAGAGGTGGCAGGTCACAGACACAGAGCTCCAAGTCTCCTTGTCTGCACCCTGTCCCTGAGGGGTTGGGGACCCACGCCTTCTGCTCCAGCCCTCTCACCCGACAGCGGGAAGGAGCGAGTCCAGAGAGGTGGGAGTCCCCTGGGGTCACACAGGGAGACCCCAGGAGAGGGGGGCACGCTGCCAGGCCACCTGGGCCCCTGCCTGGCGCTCTCCCCTCTGGGTTTCAAGGTCCTCTCCTACCCTCCTCCTTAGGAGGGAAACTGTGACACTAAAATGCTATTCGAGGGGGTTCAAGGTTGGTGGGCGAGGGTAAGAGGGGCAGCAGGAGGAAGGAAGGGCGTAGAGACTGGTGGACACTTGCTCTGTGCCAGGTGCTATCTCTGTGAAACCCCTGCATTGGCACAGCCACCGTGCACGGGGACTGCAGCCGCGTGTTACAAATGGAGCCCGTGACACCCAGATCGCATCATTCGCCTGCAGCGCCCCACGGGGAGCACGTGGTGAGGCTGGGGTTTGAACTCAGAGCCGTCTGATGCCAAACCCTTGGCCTTCCTCCTGGCCTGTCCAAATGGATCGGCCTGCCTCCGCACAGGGCGGTGAGCAGGAGGCCCCTCTGCAAAGAAGGGGAGAGACGGGAAGAGCAAACCCCGTAAGCTGCGCTGACCGCCTTCTTCCTCTGACCTGTTACAGCCCCCCAGGCCGCCGCACCATGAGCCGCTCCCCGAGGGAAGCCCAGGCCCCGAGCCACCACGAGCGCCTTCTGCCCTCTGTGGCTCGCACCCCGTCTGTCACCCAGGTCGCACCAGCCAAGAAGATAACCTTCCTCAAGCGAGGGGATCCCCGCTTTGTCGGGGTCCGCCTGGCTGTTCACCAGCGCGCCTTCAAGACCTTCAGCGCCCTCATGGACGAGCTCTCCCGGCGCGTGCCTCTCTCCTTCGGGGTGCGCTCCGTCACCACGCCCCGCGGCCTGCATGGCCTCAGCGCCCTGGAGCAGCTGGAAGATGGCGGCTGCTACTTCTGCTCCGATAAGAACCCCCCCAAGATGCCCGGCGGGCCAGGCCGGCCGCAGGGGAGAGGCCCCTCTGCTCAGCAATCGCGGGATTTTGAAGGCCAGCGGGAGACGCCTGGAACGTCCTCCTCCTGGAAGGGTCCCAAAGCCCCAAGGAGGGTCTTGCTGGTGAAGAACGGGGACCCTAGACTCCAGCAGACGGTGGTTCTCAGTCACAGAGACACTCGGGACCTGACGGCCTTTCTCAGCAAAGCCTCAGACATTCTGCGCTTTCCTGTGAAGCACGTGTACACAATCAGCGGGAAAAAGGTGGGCTGTTAGGCCTGGATAGTTCCTTGAAAAAGTTCTCTGGACCTCGGGTCAAAATATAACCCTTAGATGGAATGGGGAAGTTATTCCTTGAAAAGAGGGACTCGATCGCCCTGCTACTAATTAAAGATGAATAGGGTAGAGGCATTCGGTCAAGTCGATTAATCCACAAACAATTGTTATTCACATTTTTAGCTACCGTTTAGTGAGCACTTAGTACGTGCCAGGCACAGTGCCTTGTACCTTCTCGTCATCTTCTTACTCAGTCCTCTCAACAACCTGTTTCCGTGAGAGTTCAGTGCAGGAAACAGAAAGTACTCCAGGTCCCTCAAGCAGAAAGATATTTAATAAAGGGCATTGAGGGGCTTCCCAGTCCTTGGGAAGCTGGAGAGTGAGCCGGGCCCCTCACGGTATGACACGAAGCTCAAGCATTGGTCTCTGCTCTTGGCAGGTCAGGCCCTGAGCAGAGGTGGTGGCCACATTTGCATGAAAGAGTTGGGGTTTCTGTTGCTAGCTCACACTCCTCTGCCACGTTGCTTGTCTGCACGCCCTGGGGAGGCCGGAGAAATGGGATGAGTGTCGCCCAGGGAGCAGGCCAGTTTGCGCACACGGGTATCACCTTGGTGCACGTTCACACGAGACACAAATGCTCTCACCCGCTGGGCCAATTCTGAGAGACCCATTCCCAGAACCTCCAGACGTGCCTGACACCAGGGCCCGGCCCCGTCCTGTCCTGCCGAGTCCCTGGCTGTCGGGTTGAACTGCTCTCCGCTGCCCACAAATTGCTATAGAACCTCTCGCCACTGCTCCTTCCATGAAAAATACACAGCCAAATTACACTGTCCCCTGGGCCTTCCTTCCCCACTGCCCCGAGTGGCCCTCGGGCGAGGCAGAGGCGATGGGCCCAGATCCTACTGCAAAACACGGAGCAGAGGCCAGAGAGGACCCTCCGTTTGGGAAAAGGGTGGGACGTGAATCGGGTCCCCGCATGGGCGCTGGAGGGCTTTCTGCTCTGGCTGCTTTAGGGAACACATTTTGCAGAGGGTGGACGGGCAGGCAGAGAAACAGCCTGAAGGCTCTGAAGTCTTTTCCACCCGAGATGTCCTGGTGCGGGGGGTGCCGGGAGAGAGGGAGATGGCTGTGGCAGGACCTCAGCCCCCGGCTGTGGGGAGTGGGTGGGATCCTGGGATCAGGAATCTGGGGTGAGATGTGCAGAAGTCAGGAGAGGGCTGGAGAGACAGGCTCCTCCTCCCCTGGGCCTTCAGGCAGAGGGCTCTCTGCAGCCGGGGCTGACGCGGGGCCCTTCTCCTGCAGCTGGACTCCCTGCAGAGCCTGCCGCCCGTGCTGGTGTGTGCCGGCCACGAGGCCTTCAGACCTCTGGCCATGGAAGATGCCAGAAGAAACAGGACTGAAACTTCAGCTGGGCTGGCTTCAAGGAACAAAAACGGTGAGTTGGTTTTTGGGTCTCCCCAATCCGACTTGCACTGGCTGGATGGTGGTTCAGCAGGGGCTGAGCAGGTAGCCCTTCCAGAATATTCAGGAAATCTGCATTCGGCCCCAATTCCCAGGGATCCCAGTCATTTTGGGGTCTCTCTTGCCCTTTCCTTCCCTTCTCAACACCATCAGCCTTAACTGGACCGAACATTTGACAGGGGCATGAGACAGCGGAGTCTGGTATTTAAAGGGAGCAGGGAGCAGGAGATCTTGAATCCAAAGTCTCTAGGCTCTACAATAACTGCTATTAAGAACCACAGTGGGCATGACAGCATAGAGGCCATGGCCACACCCATGTGGCATTTGCCTCTTTTGAGGGTCACAACTATCTTAGGCAACAGTGGTGCCCCACAGAGGGGTCAGAAGGACAAGAACTAACCGTGACCCTTGATCATCCACCATCCACCCATGTGTCCAGCCCAAATGCCTACACTGCATCAGTTTAGGCTATGATTGCTTTAAAAAAAAACAACAGCATTATTTTAAGAAGCAGAATTAATAAAATGCAGAATAAAAGTTTAAGCAAAATTATTGGAAGAACAGTTGGGAAATCTGGGGAGTAAACAAAGTACTGTCCCTTGTGAAAAGCTAAGAGAACACCAACAACGGTCTGGAGATGGCTGCGTGCCAGGTGCCGATGTATGGAGATGTCTCAGCCTGAGCCCCCTCCCTGGGGGAGCCCCAGTCTCCTCTGGTGCTCGTGGAGGGCAGGACACGGCAAAGCCACCTTCTGCCCAGATGTGCTCCACGGGCTCAGCCTTCCCTGGCCCTGCCTCTTGCACACGTTAGTTCAGGAGATGAAATTCGAAAGCACTTACGGCCCCGTCTTTCTGTCCCTACTGGCCTTTTTTTCTCTCCTTCACGGCTGGGGGAGGTGCCACTAGCAGGGCCTGATACTGAGCTCCGGGTCCTTCCTTGCGATCATTTATCAGCCCAAGAGCATGGTGAGCGTTGGGGTGATAAATCACCACTGATAATCGCCACGCACGTCGCAGTTTACAGTCAGGTTTGTAGGCGGCAGCCTGCTGGTCTCGCCTCCCATGCTGGAGTGGGCATGAGAAGGGCCGGGGTGAGCTCTGGGCACTGCCGCTCTGCCCGCCGGCTCTGCCGTCTCTCGAGAACCTTCTCTGTGCCAGCAACTACGCAGGACGTCATAGACATGGCCGTGCATCAGTACAAACCTACCAAATCTGTATGATTACATTTACTTTACGGCTTAGAAAACAGGCTCTGCCCAAAGCCACCTGGCCGGCATGTGGCGGGCGAGATGGAATTCAGACTCAAGTTCATCCTGCTACGCAGGTGCGCAGACGGTCGTTCTGGACCGGCTCCGCCCTTGCCGCGCAGTTGGGAGGCAGCGGCGCTGTCCCGGGGTGGAAGGCTCACGGCCTCTTTGCTCTTCTGCCCTCACTACCTTCCCCTCTTTTCTCTCGCCCTTCCCCGGTGCCAGGGAGCTGGGGGCCCAAGGCCAAGCAGAGCGTGATCCACGCGAGGCCCAGGTCGGGCAGCAGGCCGCGGCGGTCTTCCTTGCTGTCAGAGAGGTCTGGGCTCAGTGACCCCCCAGAGTCCCTGCAACGAGCCTGGGTGGGCTGTGCCCCCGACGGGCACCCTCTGGACACGCCGGCCCGGCCTGGCCCCTTGGTGGCCAGCGACGGCGTGAAGAAGAAGGTGCGCGTGAACGAGGACGGCAGCCTGGACGTGGAGATGAAGGTCCGCTTCCACCTGCTCGGCGAGGACACGCTCCTGTGGTCCCGGAGGATGGGGAGGGCCTGCGGGGAGGGCCCCGACCTCGGGGAGGTGGACCCCCTCTGCTGCGTGTGGGAGGGCCACCCTGGGGGCGGCTCGGTGGCGGGGGCGTGGGGGCCGAGGTCCTGCGGGGTGGAGCGCGAGGACGCCTGTGGCCGAGGCGGGCCGTCAGGACCCAGATACGAGATCTGGACGAACCCCCTGCACGCAGCCCGGGGAGAGGGGCTGACTTCTCGGAGGAGGTCGGGGCTGGCCCAGCACCCCCACGGCCGGGGCCCCCGGGGCCAAGGGGCCACCCTCAGGGAGAGACGCTGGGACAGTATCAGCTCAGCCTCCAGCTCCAGCCACCCCGAGGGCTCGGAGCCAGACTCCTCCTGCTGCCCCAGGACCCCAGAGGGCGGTGCAGGCAGTGGTGGCCTCTCTGCCCAGAGCAGAGCCAAGCGGGAAGCTGGCCCATGCCCAGAGACAGCGGGGCCAGGCAGCCAGGGTGCCAAAGGGGCTCCTTTTGACACGTCGGCCGGCGAGTGGGGTGGGCAGCACTGGGGCTGCTTGGACGAGGCAAGGCCTGAGACTTCCCAGCAGGAGGTCACCCAGGGAGGTGACCCCAGTTCTCCCACCCTGAGTCCCTCAGCTTTAAGGAACGAGGACCTGCAGGCAGAGACATGTGGGCAGGGCACTGGGTGCCACCAGGCCAGGTGGGGGTCTGTGACGAGGCTGCCCCTGGCCCCAGGCCATTCTGGCTCCTGGGACACAGATGGAGGTTCTCCCCCACCTCCCGCCTGTGCCTCAGCCCAGAGGGGGACAAGGAAGCAGAGGACCCGCACTAGTGCCGTGTCCCCACCCAGCTCTCCTGGCCTTGGCCGAGTGGCTCGGAGAGGCCATGCTGGGGAGTGTCACCACTGCAGGGACACCCACTGCCTGCCGGACTTACCTGCAGCCCAGCCAGCGCCAAGGCCTCCCGACCGAGGAGGGGCCTGCCCGGAGGGCCCAGCTGCACGACTTTCCGAAAGCTCCTCGAGCACCCAGACACAGGCCTCCGGGGACCGGAGAGCCCCCTCCTCGGGCTCGCTGCATTCCCAGGACCTGCCCGCGGCCAGCAGTGCCACCATCTCTCCTGCAGGCAACTTGGACTGCGCTTCTGGTTCCTTCCACTGCGAAGCTCCCTCTGCCGGGTGGGCAGGGGACGTGGGGTCCAGGGCGGGCTCCCCGGCTCCTGCTCCTCCCCACACACCCCACTTCTGCTCTCAGGCTAGGGCTGGTGGCCAGGGCCCAGAGGCGGGGGGCATCCCCGAGCCTTCCTCGCCCTTGGCCCTGCAGGTGGGACGGCCTGACCCAGGGGAGGCAGGAGGCCACCGAGGCCACTGCGGCTTGCAGATCGGAGCATCCCCAGTCCAAGGAGGCCCTGGTGGCAATGCACAGGCGCTGTGGGTACCATCCTCTGAGGCCGCCTGGGTGTGCAGCAGGTACTGCCCCACCCCGCCCAGGCGGCGGCCCTGTGCCGAGAGGCGCCCTTCCAGCTGTGGGAGCAGTGGCCGCTGCCATGGTGCTGCCCGGGGGCCAGGTGGGAGCCGGCAGTGGGGGGAATCGCCTGCCGTGGGGTGCGTGCTGTCCCCAGACCCCACGGGGGGATCCCAGGGGAAGACCGCTGCAGGCAGGGAAGGCCCCGAGGAGCAGGAGGAGCGTGGCGGCGTGTCCCCAGGCGCTCTGCCCCACGCCTCGCCAGACGCCGTGGTCCGAGAATGGCTGGGCAACATCCCAGAGGAGCCTGTGCTCTTGAAATACGAGATGGTGGATGAGGCCGCAAATGCGGCCGGGGACGGCCCAGAAAGCCCCAAGGAGGACCCTGAGGACGGCCGTTCTCCAGAAGGCCCAGGGGGGCTAGCTCAGGCCAGGCCACGGCCCCCTGAAGGGGACGCCAGCGAGAACCTAGAGCCAGACAGGGCCCTCCCGGGGACTGGCAGTGCCGGTCCCTCACCTGGAGAGGGTCCTCCCCAAGGGGCAGCTCCGGGCGGAAATCCCAAAGCCTTTGCGGAGGCCAGAGTGGGCGGAGAGGCGGCCGTGGGCTGTGGGGTGCCCCAGGGGGTGCTTCCCGCCAGGGTGTGGGCCTCCGCGCAGATCATGAAGGCACTGGCGGGCTTCAGGCAGGGCCGGCCCAGCAGCCTGCCCGAAGTGTCCGGCCCGGCGGCCCGGAGGCTCAGCCGCTCAGCCGGGGCGCTCATCACCTGCCTGGCCCGGCTGCACTTCTTCGATGAAGATCTGGGGTCTCCTAATGGCAAAGCAAGCTTCGCAGACTCCCCTCGGTACCAGGAGCTGCTCAGCCTCTCCCGGGCCCTGTGGCCAGGCTGTGACCTTGGCCAAGGCCAGCCAGACTCCAGCCTCCAGGAGCTCACGTGGAGCCAGGCTCTGCCAGGCCTCGGGTCCCACGCCATGACCGAGGACCTCACGCCAACGTCCTCCTCTGGCGTGGACCTCAGCAGTGGCTCGGGGGGCTCGGGGGAGGGCAGCGTGCCCTGTGCCGCGGACTGTGCCCTGGGCCCGGAGAGGGTGGAGCTGCCCCAGAAAACCTCCCACCAGAGGCCTGATTCCAGAGGCTCAGAGAACGCGGAGGATCTGGGAAACCCACGGCCAAGCTGTTGCCCGGCCTCCCCCCACTCGCAAGCCCCCGGTGAGGGCCGGGCAGGGGGAGACGGCGGAGAGCTGGGGCTGGGCAGCCCCCCGGGGCACGCGGTTGGACAAGCAATGCAGGAAGAAGGGGCCCAGTTAGAGGAGACCAGAGAGGGAATGGAAAGAGAAGAACTGCAAGAGTCTGCGGAAGAGGAAAGGCTTTCAGAAGAGGGCAGGGTGGGCTGTCCGGGTGGGGATGAGGGCGGGCAGGAGGAGGGAGCGGGAAGAGCCTCTGCCCCAGCAGCAAGGAGAGAGGAACCCACGGAGCCCCCCGGTCAGCTCGGCGAGGGGGACCCACATGCCGGTGAGGATCAAAGCGGCCCCCAATTCGAGCCTGGTTTGGAAGATCTGCCTGGAGCAGCCTCGCCCCTGCGGGGGGCTGGCGAGGAGAGCGCGCCCGCGGCTGGCAGAGTGTCTCTGGATCCGGACCCTGTCTGGGCGTCCACGATGCTGAAGAAGATGGAGAAGGCCTTCATGGCCCACCTTGCCGGCGCCGTGGCACAGCTCCGGGCCCACTGGAGCCTGCAGGACCACCCTCTGCTGGACCAGATGGCGGCCGAGCTGCAGCAGGACGTGGGCCGGCGGCTGCAAGACAGCACCCAGAGAGAGCTCCAGAAGATGCTGAGCCGGGCGGGGCGCAGGGCCCCGGGGCCGCCCGGGGAGGCCCTCAGCCGGGAGCCGTCCTCGCAGACGGAGCAGCGCAGGCGCTGCCTCCGGGGCCTGCGCAACCTCTCGGCCTTCTCGGAGCGTACCGGAGGCCTGGGGTCCCTCTCCCTGGAGGACAGCGCAGCCCTGGGGACCCAGCAGGATGGGGTGGCCGAGGGGGAGGAGTTCTGTCCCTGTGAGGCCTGCGTGAGGAAGAAAGTGAGCCCTGTGTCCCCAAAGGACACCGTGGGGACAAGCAGGGCACCTATCAAAGAGGCCTTCGACCTGCAGCAAATCCTGCAGAAGAGGAGAGGAGGGTGTTCCAGCGGGGACGCAGCCGAGGGGGCCCCTGAGAAGACAGGGGCAGAGCAGCTTCAGGAGGACCCCTCAAGCCCCCGGCCCTCCTGGGGGGCTGATGATGGGCTGGGGCTGGGGCCTGGGGTGCAGGGGGAGGAAGCCAGGGACCAGGGCTCCGGGGGTTCGGACAGTTTGGAGCGTGAACCCTCAGCAGTAGGTGACCAAGATCCAGGAGGACAGAGTGAAGGCGCGGAAGGTGTGGGGGCCCAGGAAGCTGACGGGGAGGGGCGGCCTGGGTCAGGAGGGGGGACTCAAGGGGAGAGAGGAGGGAGCCCTCTGGTCAGCCCACAGCAGGGCCAGTCAGAGGACGCTTCTGAAAACGGCAGCCCGGACCAAGAGGGCAGGCCCGCGTCACCTCCCGCCCCAGGTGAGGACACCCCCCGCCAAAGCCCAGACCCCCAAACGGGCCCTTCCTGCTCCAGCCCACTCTGCCCGGGCAGCTGCTCTCAGAAAGGCTCAGAAGACGGTGGCAGTGGAGACATGAGAAACACTGAAGCTGAGTCCGAGGGGGTCCGTTGTGCAGAGAGAAAAGTCACCAGGATGTATCCAGAAAGTTCTACTTCTGAGCAAGAAGAGGCCCCTTCCCGCCCACGGACTCCAGAGCAGGGGGCAGGCAAAGGTTCTCACCTACAAGATGAGAAGGCCGCTACAAGCCGCCCCTCCACTGGGGCGGCGGGCAGGGCGGATGGCTTCGGCCAAGACGACTTAGATTTCTAGACATGACCAGGCTGCAAGGCTGCCTAGGCGCTCTGTGTTTATTAACATCTGTCTACGAACCTGAGTGAGGCTCAGTCCACCGCAGACATGCAAAGCACGTGGAAAAAGACCAAGGACTTGCCAACGACATGGCCCAACCATGCTGTCCCTGGGTCCTAAATCCAGAAGCTTCCGAGAGCCCCAGGGCCCGTCCCATATGAGAGGGGTGAGGAAGGTGATCTACAGATACAACCTGTATCAGCTCAGCAGCTCCCGTGCGTTGGTCTGCGGAGCTCAAGATGATGGAACTGATTGGAGCGGTTCCAGGAGGGTTTTTGTTTGTGTGTTTGTTTTCTGCTAGCGAGTGTTCCTCTCCTACTCTTCCCTATTGATCTCCTGCTGTTTTTCTCCTTGGCCTCTCTTAGTCCTCACCTCGTTTGACTTTGAGGTGCTTTTGTTCTGAACATATCTGGTGACTCTGCAGAGGTGAATCCTTGGGAAAAGCAGATAACTTCAGGGTCATTTGATAAAGTTTGTTCTCAGCCCCAAAGTCCAAATGTTTTTCCTTCATTCATATTTTTTTTTGTAAGGGAAAAATTGGAAAATGTAAAAAAGCAGCAAGAAGGAAAAGAAGTCATCCACAATCCCATCACTCAGAGATAACTTCTGTTAGTTTGATGTATTTCCTTCCCATCACTTTTAACCATTTTATAGTTGAGATTCCTCTTTACATATTTTTTTAAAGTTAACAATGTAAGAATTTTCCCCACTTATCTCAAAATCATCATAAACCTATCTTTTAATATCTGAATAATGTTCCATTATGAGAATATAAGATATTTTACTGTTTTCCTACTCTTGACCAGTTAGATGATTTCCATTAATTTGTTCTTAAAACATTTTTCCCTGAACGTCTAATTATTTCCTTAGGATAGATTCCCAGGCATGGAATTACTGGGTTCAAGGATATCCACCTTTTTAAGGCTTTTGATATCCAAATTGTTTTTACAAAGGTCTGTACAGATTTACATCACTGGCCTACCACCTGGTCATCAGTGTTTGGTATTGTCATTAAAACTGAGAAATCATTTGCTAATTGGATGGGCAAAAAACAGTACCACATTTTAATGTGGTGCTATTTCAGGTCTATTTGATTATTAAAGAGATTAAAGTTTTGTCTAGAGTTTTAAAAAACTATTTGCATGTGAATTATGTGTGTATGCCTTTTACACATTTTTCTACTGAGATTTCAGCTTTTTTGTTTAATGAATTGATTTGCATGCACCCTTTATAATTAAAAAATTTCTACGTACCATTTGTGAGATTTTAAAAATGCCCTCTCTCTACCTTGTTCTAAAGCAGTACTTGGACTGGGCTCTGTTCAGATAGGAGCTCCTGGATGGGGCAGGATGTCTTGGACAGGTTCTCACCGATTTCCTGTTCGTTCAGGGGTATTTCGTGGTATCCAGATTTATTGAAATGGAAGTCTATGCTACAAGAACAGGTGTTGTTCACTGTTTGCACGAAGCAAAAGTTGGGCGTATGCTGTGTCTGGTATCTACAGGAATCCATTCTACAGAGGGAGGAGATGTTCTTAATAAAATTTGACATGTTTGTAAAATGTCTGCAGAGGTGATTCTTCAAAGTTTTTATAATAAAAGCATAAATATACATATATAAACTTTTACATATTAATATTTGGGGGGATGAGTGTTGCTGGTGTTGGCTGAAGGGCTGGTGGAGGCTGTCCACGCGTAGCCCCATTAGTAGAGTGAAGGTCTGGCATCTTAGCCGGAAGCCCCCAGTGGCACAGACCGCACTGTGGGCTGGCCTGGATATGGTGACGTGCAGGGTTGAACAGCACTTGTCCCCACTGGTTGACACGAAGCATCCTGTAGGCACCTGTTCTGTGATTGCAGGTCCCCAGTCACCCCTCAGATATGCCGCAACCCCTTTGTTTCACTCCCTGCTGCCTCCCCGCCACCTGCTGAGCTGACACCTTGTTACTGCAAAATGGCATCGTCTCTCTAGCCCAGAGCTTGCAATGGAAAGAGCACAGGGCCTGGAGCTGGGGGACCTGGGCCCAAGTCCCAGGGATAGCACCTCGGTTTCAGCATCTGAGAAACGGGCTAATAATGTTTTCCTCACTGTATTGTTGAGAAACAGAGAACATCTGAAACTTCTTTACGCATTTGCTGGGGCTATCTCGATATTTTAATCATAACCGCTATGTGTTCAACGTCTGCAATGAATCGGGTACCATGCCAGATTCTTTACGTAAATCATCCTGTTCCACGTTCCCCGCATGTCTGTGAAGTGAGCAAGCAGGTGTCGTTATTTCCACAAATGAGGCTTAGAAGAGAGACACAAACAAACCTGCCCAGGCGCACACAGCCAGGGAGGCAAAGCCAGGATATAAACGCGGATATTTCAGACCCTAAAGTCTACGTCCAGATTTTTTTTCATTTTGATTCAGGCCCTGCAAATAAATAACTTAGCTAAAGGTGGGTAACACCTTGTGGAATGAATTTACTACAGAAGAGTCAAGACTTAGGAAAGTGACTTAGATGAGATTTTTTGCCCAGCTGATTCCATTCTGCCCTAGCAACGTTCTACTTCTGTGCAGACATCAGGAGTGGGAGACCAGCTGGGTTTGTAAAGCCAAGGGCTCAGCTGAAAGTTCTCTGTCCACGGGATTCTCCTCCTAGTTACAAACTCACCTGCTTTCAGCCCCCAAATCGTCCTGCTGCTTATGTTGAAAAAACTTTGCTGTTGATGGACAACTCTATGTTTTCTTCTGACTTGGAGATGAAGTCTTTCAGGGCCAGCCGCTAAGGTGGGGATTTTCTGCCTCCTCCCCGCTCTTTTCTCTGCGGCCATCGTGCAGCATCTCTGGCCCTGCCGGAGCCTCCTCCTGTCTTGGAATCCACACTGAGCCGCCATTGCTCAGAAGGCAGCCAAAGAGCTCATGGTGTCAGCAGTGATGCAAAAGCACTGAAACCCATGGGGATTCTCCTCGAATGGTGGGGAAAACGAACCAATCCCTTCTCGCCTCTCCCTGCCGTCCAGCTGGAGGGGATCAGAGATTCCAGCGGAAAAGGAGCACCTGTTAGTGGCTGAGAACCAAAGGCCCGTGTCCAGAGACCCCGACCTCACTGGTCTGGGCGAGGGCTCCCACCCTGCGCTCCCGGCGCATGTCACGTTCAGTCGAGGTGGCAGATCACCGATTTAGTCTCACAGCCTCCTGAAAAGGTCACCCGCCTAAATCCCACAGCCGTGTAAGGGGCCTTTTTCTATACCCACTCAATACCCCGCCCCAGGGCTAGGAGAGGCCCCGCAGACAAATGCAGCACGCCGCGAATCTGCCCCCGTCATCCCGGCCAGGTCTCCCGCACGCCCCTAGCTCGTCACCCACCGCCCTGCCTCTGAGTCTCCCCCCGAGGCCCAGGTTCTGTCTCCAGAAGCCCCGTCTGATGCGGGGCCCCTCTCCTGACCTCTGACTTCCAGCTGTGTCTCAGAAAGAACAGGGTCGCTTCCCGACATTCCAGGCTGGCTTGGGAGCACCCTGCCTCGAGGCGAAGGGATGAGCTGGGTGACTTCTCCCGGCTCTCTCGATCCTGGCAGTTTCGGGAAAGGGCAGACCCAGGGACGGACGCCCGCGGGTATAACCAGTGCAAAGGTGGGAGGGGTGAGAGTTGGAAGTGACTAATTTTCTTGGAAAAGGCTGAGCCCCGCATTCCATCTCGTTCTGCCCAGCACGGGAGTGCGTCCTCTCTCTGTGAGAGGCAGGCCACAGCAGGACGGGCAGCTGAGAAAGATTTGGGGGACCCAGGGTAAAGAGAGTGCTTTGCAACTCTTGTGTTCTGCCATTAAGTAGCAATTAGGCGGCCTGTCCTGGTGGCTCACACCTGTAATCCTAGCACTCTGGGAGGCTGAGGCAGGAGGATAACTTGAGCTCAGGAGTTCAAGACCAGCCTCCCATCTCTACAAAAAATTTAAAAATTAGACGGGCACGGTGGTGCACGCCTATAGTCCTAGCTACTTGGGAGGCTGAGGCAGGAGGATCGCTTGAGCCTGAGAATTTGAGGTTTCCGTGAGCTAGGCTGACGTCATGGCACGCTAGCCCAGGCAACAGAGTGAGACTCTGTCTCAAAAAAAAAAAAAAAAAAATGTAGCAATGAGCCGTCTCCCCTTTCGTACTCCAAAACACACCTGAGCTCCCCAAATGCACGTCAGAGTCAAACCCACTAGAAGTTCCGAATTTAAGGGCTGAGGGTGAGGAGAGAAAACTGGGATAAATGAGTCTATTCCCTCCTGGGTCAAACACTCTCCCCCACTATGAAGCTAGACGTGTCCAGTTCATCCTGGTCTGAGCAGCTGTTCTGTGCCTGGCCATGTGCCACAGCTGGGGATACAGAGAAAAACACTGTCCCTGAGGTCCCCTGTACATATGCTTGTGTGTGGCCTCCACTCCTTCAGGGCTCAGTGGTCAGAGGTGCAACCCTCCGACAGAAAAGTAGAATAAAAAAGGAACAGAGGTCCTGCTCTGGGCACCATTTCTGCAACGGTGAGAGCAGAAAACCAGGTGGTGGCCGAGAAAACAGAGAGGTGCAGTGGAAGTGGCCTCCACAGCAACCCCCAACCACAAAAGGGACGGGGCTTGTGGGTCTT